CACAGGATTTTAACTGAGGATCTTGACAAAACTGGAAATCAGAAATTATGTAAAAAGATAGTAACTGTGAAATTGTACTAAGGTGCAAGGTATGGAGCTTACTATGCTGATAGAATAATGGTGCTGTATATTTAAAAGCTCAGAATAAAATAAATCAACTGTTTTAACAGGAAACATAATACCCACATGGCTTGATCAGAAACAGTAAAGAACCATACATCTAGACCAGGATAGCAACTCTGACTGTAATGTATTTCTTAGTAGTACTAAATAGTAGTAATATAGTAGTATTAAATGGTTTTGTTTCTTTTAGCTGCACTTTGTGGTGGTTGTCAATGGCATTACTTGGATGTCAACATCAAACTACTGTTGGATCTAGAGAGTACTGGATATCAGGTAGATAGCAAGTTCTGTGCTATGACAAGGTGTACTATGGTCTGATTGTGTACCTAGTTGTTTCCTTTGTAGACTGAAAGTCATTTGGAGGGACACAGGTGCTACACTAGCTATGTAGTGACTTTTAACCGTCCTTATAAGGAGGGCCTGTGGTTTAGGGTAAATAAAGGAGGAGACATAATTAGGAAGCATTAGGTCCCCAGATGGTATATTGAGCTGCAGTACTCCAGAACTCAGTTTCTTCTGGTTTGCTGGATTTTCAGTCCATAGCTGCTTTGTCAGCCTTTCGGTCCGGGCATTCTGTGACCCTTTCCTTTTTAGAGCTGGATTTTGCCATGCAGCTACAAAAGCGCTTTTCTATCAAGAGTTGATCCAAAGATCTCTGTATAGTTTGACCACTAACTTTTCAACAACTAAAGCTGGGCATTTACCTTCTTAGGAACACAAAATATCGGAGAGAGACCTTCTCTGCAGACCCTTTTGAGCACAATTTCTCATAACACTTGTTTCTAGATGAAAGTGGGCAGTAAGTTGTATGTCTGTCTTGCTATGTATTTGTCAGTGCTCAGGATCAGTTTTTGATGCATACTCAGGATTAACTGCATGGAAGTCTTTGGAGGTAGAGGACATTACATTGTTTCTGAATTGGGGTGGATTTGGCAAAGCTGTGTCAGAAGACACCCAGCATGTCATAAACCATTAACGGTACACTATTTGTTAATAGCCAGAGTTTAAATGAGCTGTAACATGAGTCTTCAGATAATCAGAGTTTTAGTGTACTTCACCATAAAATTAGCAGCTCACATAATGAGGATTGTCTTGTCCTCCAGATATCCTGACCATACTTTGGTTTATCTTACAGTGGATTTAAAGTCCTTTCTTGCTTGACTCCAGATCAGGTTAGATGGTTTTACTCCCTTGGTGCAATGCCAGGCAAGCTGTCTTGTTTGAGCTGCACAAAACAGGGCTTTCAGTTCTGGCATACAATCCTTTGAAGCAGCATAGCAGTCAGCATAAAATAGCACAAATAAACGCTTTGAGCAGTGTGCCACTGAATAGAGTCACTGAAAGATCTTGGAGATAAATGGCAGGCAAAGAATGCATAATGCACTGCAGAGGCGGGGACTGCTTGCTGTGGAGCGCTGAGCTAAGGCCACCATCAATTTCATCCTGGCATAGGGAAAAGCTTATAACAAGTCATTGGCCTCTTTAGGTATAGCAACACATGTACTTACTTGGAAAGCAATGCCAGTTTGAGGTGCTCCTGCTCTGCTACGTGCTTGTTGACTGTGCCATGAATTGAACCAGGGAACTGACTGGTTGGAAAAATAATTTGGCAGACAGGTTTATTTTTAACTAGGGTCAGTTACAGTTGTTCAGTGGAAGGACTGCCATACAGTGGGAATTGCTGCTGGAGGCTGCAGTGAAAGGAGGGACTGGAGCCTGGGACTGCTGTTTACATAAATGTACGTGTAACTGTGCCCTCGGGCTCCATGCCCAGGTTTTATGAGACTGGAGAGAAGCTCGAATAGGGAAGTGGTTCTGTGAAATAATTAAAACTTGTTATGAGCAACTCAACTGCAGATAATCTTGCTGACTAATCATTTTTTACTTTCTACTGAATCATTCTGTTGGCTTGGAGTGATTTATGAGTGAGGTTTTTTTTCTTGTGGGGTTTTTTGGTTTTAGTGTTTTGTTGTTTTACTTTTTCTTAAGGGAGGTGCGGATGCGTACCAAGACTTTCAAAACTGAAACTGGAAGGAATTGCTATTGCTTAATTTCTATATACGATTGGAAAAGTAGAGAAAGAAGAGAAAAATGTAGCCCAGTGTTACAGCCAAATTAGAATGTTCATCTTCAGTTTTGCAGTTTCTTGCATGTCTAAGAATGTGTCAAGTTCATTTGCTTAGTTATTATATTAAAGCATTGATGTGCTGTAATTGAACAATGTTTCAGTTGCATGAATAGTTTCTTTCTATTTCCTTGAGAAATTGCATCACATGTGTTTGGTTTTGATTTTTTTTCTAGAATAAATGTTGATCGAAATCTGAGAAGTGTTCTCAGGGGCTCTCGTACCTGCAAAAGATTCACTTGTACAGTTTCTCTGATAACACTTGTTCAGGAGCTTATGCGTTCCTATTGTGTATCTAAAGCAATACAGATAAAACAACTGTGCTAGCTGTTGACTTACTCAGTAGTTTATGAAGCAGATAAATGGAAAAAAAAATTACCGTATTGTATTTTTTGGGTAATGAAATGTCTGTCAGCTTGTTTGCTGTTGATACTTGCAGCTTTTTGTAACGTTTGTGATAGTATATGGATTCTACAACACATTAAAGTAGTAAACAAGAAGTGTTTTGGTCTGCCTAGTCTGCACCACCTCTTTATTTGTAGTAGGTATATAATAATTGTTTGGGTTTTTTAATTCATTTTTTTATCTTTAAAACTTAAGCTTGTCTGGTCTGCTTAAGAAAAAAAAAATCATGTAAAGGAGTTCTTAGTGTTTCCTTTGTGATGCCTTTACAGAGCTTAATAAATATCCCTGTTGCAATTTGATTTTCTTACTCTGAAAATTTTCAGTTTTGTTTCTCAGTTCATATTCATTACTTGACTAATTTGAGAGTGCCTCCTTTCTGTTCATCCTGACTGAAAAAACATGATATGAAAGAGAGCTGGATATAACAGTGCAAAATGTAATGTTGGCTTCAGGGACTCTGAAGTTTCAAAGAGCCTCAACTCTTCTGCCTTAATTCTCAGAAGTAACTGAAGGCCGTGCTGTTAGTAAAGAGCATAAAGAAACCTGTTAAAATTCAGCATGACTGTAGAAGGTAATATTATGCACTGGTAAGAGTTATCTAAAGGAGTATGTTTTTTAGAGACCAGAAGATATTAACAGCCTGCAGTTACTTTGAAAGTCATGGGCTGACCTGTTGCATTATGTTCACATAATGGTAGCTGTGCTTACTAAAATGTGGCTTGTCTTGTAAAATATATTCAGAGCCACCTATTAAGATTTCTGTTAGTTCAATGGTACGACTTTATAGTGCGATAGTAATGGGGTATATTATAGCATAGCTCATGTGGATTATCTACATTTAATATTAAGAACTAATAGGGAACCTTTGCATAGATGGCAAACTTATTAACATTGTTCATTACAGCTGAAGTTGAAGAGCTGTATATTTGATCTGATTATATTTTCCTATAAGGTTATCATCTAGCAGTTGTCAAGTGATGCAGGTAATTTAAAAAAAACCCAAAACTTCAGTGAGCATTCATTCTCCTGCATCAGTGGGCAGCAAGAAAAAAAAACCCAACCCATGATGTAAGAAAAAGCCCGTAGCATCTGGTTGGCATCCATTCTCAATAGTTTCTGTAATTGTCTACAGTTTAAAGAAACAGATGATAATAGTTATTGGCACCTTCCAGCATAAGAGTATCCTATCCCTTTTCAGAGCTGAGTATGGTTTTGGGAAAGTCATTGGGGCACATCTGTATAGGCATAGTTCTAGAGCTTTGTGTCAGTATGAGGCACAGGCAGAGTAAGAAAGAGATTTATTTTCAAAAATTAGGATTTACTTACATTCCATGTAAAATATAGGCTCTAGCCTTAAAAGGAATGACTTGCTTGACAGGCTTCAGTAAAATGCTGTAAACTAGTTGAAAAGTTTGAAACTGTTGGTGCATTTGTATTTCTTCATGCTGTATTATCTCCCTACAGACAATAAGTAGCAAGTTATCCCTGATGAATACATTTTTCACAAGCTTTGTGATGAATAATTATTTGGCTGTTTTCTGTACACCTTTATACCATGCTTTTTTGTGTGATTTTCTTTTTTTCTTGCAAAGAAGCTATTAATTAATTAATCCTCTCTAATTTGTAAATTGCCAGCAGTGAGAAACTAATTGTAGTGCAATTAGAAACAGCTGGTGGACAAAAGCTTGATACTACTAATTGTAGACTTAGCAGGCATTTCATATGTAGGAATTTGAGAAATAAAGAAAACATGGCATTTCTTTAACCTCTTTCCAAATGTAGGACTGTTGGGTAAATTGTGTAAAGAACTTAAGGGCATGGATGTTTGAGGTATAGCTCTTCCGTGGTACAGAAAGAGCTGTCTCTTTTCCTGGGCAAGTATCCTGGTATCTGCCATGTAGTCCAGTGGTGACCTTTGTTTTGACAAAGCTAATGCATAACTTGACAATTAATATTTATGATCTTAGTGATAAATGTATTACTTGTGTATTGTCGAAACTGTGTGGCAGCCTTTTTGGAGGATGTCAGCATCAAAAGAGTTGTAACTTTTGATTGACAGGCAAGAGAATATTGCATATTCTGCCATTTAATCTGCATTAGTCAGCCCCTTCTCTAATTTTGCAGCACGCTTGCTCAATTCCAGGTGTGCAGGAATGTAACTATGTGGGTCAAGATAGTTAATTGGGGCTTTGAACTGTAAATGCTCTTTGGCGTATTCCTGTGTTAGAATATCTAAAGTACATTGTCTGTATTATTTACAGCAATCATCATGAAATGATCATGTTTTAAATAGCTCAAATATATAAACTGTGTGTATACCTGAAAATAGTTTTATGTTTTCTTGCAGCTAACAGAAGATGAAATTGCAACTATTCTGAAATCTACTCTTAAAGGACTTGAATACCTGCACTTCATGAGAAAAATACATAGAGATATAAAGGCTGGAAACATCCTTCTTAACACTGAGGGACATGCAAAATTAGCTGATTTTGGTGTTGCTGGCCAGTTAACAGTAAGTACCTGTGAAAGGATAATTTAAAAATGCTTTAGTGCTCTTCACAGTGTTGTTTTACTTTTTATCTTTTTCTTCTGCCTTAAATTGTCTACCTGAGGTGTATGTAACTAACGGTAGTGGTAGAGCTGACATTCTTTGTCATTATGAGTATTTAATGTATTGCAAGGCTATTTAGTATTTGGTTTTTTTATACCAATAACCCGTGTACTTCAAGTGCCTGATGATCCTGCTTCAAACTTCTGAGGTTTAAGCTTTTGAGGTTTATGGTACTTGTCTCCTGTTTGACCACTGTAGGCTCATGGGCTGAATCTGGTCTTAATTGGAAGTCACTGCCATTTGACCTTCGGATGGCTAATTTAACTTTAAAATACAGAATTAGTATAAAAAGAATCTGAAAATAAACTATGTTTTAATTGCATAAATAATGTAATTACAGGATACAATGGCAAAACGTAATACCGTTATAGGAACTCCATTTTGGATGGCTCCTGAAGTGATACAAGAGATTGGCTATAACTGTGTGGCAGACATCTGGTCCCTTGGGATCACTTCGATAGAAATGGCTGAAGGAAAGCCTCCATATGCTGATATTCATCCAATGAGGGTAAGTGTGTGTGGTGGTGGTGTCTAGTTTTTTGCATTAAAAAAAAAACCAACAAACCCCAAAACCTCAAAAAACCCTAATACTGGAATCATTAAACTGTATGTTTATGCACAAATATTTTAAGACTAAGAATTTTTACTTACTGTCTTGCTTTCTATTTACTGAAGTTTGTTTGTGTTTTAACATGTCTAAGCTTTTGAAGTGCTTTTATCTCCACTTGATAGAGAACTAAAGCAATAAACGCTTAATTTACTTGAAGGCAACATATAGAGCCTATCCCATATTATACTTGCACTTGGAGAGCTCCATAAGCAAGAGGCTATCCTCCTTTGAAAGGCAGTTTTGAAGTAAAGATGGCCTAAGGAAGGATTCAGAGTTGTCCTATGTGACCACTGCTAATCCTAGTAATCCCTGACAGTTTTTATTTATTACTGACTCTTAAAGTCTGTTACTGAATTAGTTTTCTTTTTGCAAAATAAAATTTAAATAGAATTAGTTGCTTTATGAAAAGTAGTGGTTATAAAGGAATTACTTGAAGAATCACAGAACACTTTGGGTTGGAAGGGACCTTTAGAGATCATCTAGTCCAACCCCCTGCGGTGTGCAGGGATGTCCTTAGCTAGATCAGGTTGCTCAGAGCCCAGTCCAACCTGACCTTGGATGTTTCCAGGGATGGGGCCTCTACCACTTCTCTGGGCAACTTGTGCCATTCATTCATCCTTATATCTAGTCTAAATCTACCTTCTTTTAGTTTACAACCATTACTCCTTGTCCTGTCACAACAGGCCTTGCTAAAAAGATTGTCCCCATCTTTCTTATAGGCCCTCTTTAAGTACTGGAAGGCTACAGTAAAGTCTCCCTGCAGCCTTCTCTTCTCCAGGCTGAACAACCCCAGCTCCTTCAGCCTGTCCTTGTAGGAGAGGCGCTCCAGCCCTCGGTTCATTTTTCTGGCCCTCCTCTGGACCTGCTCCAACAGTTGCCTGTCCTTCTTGTGTTGAGGTCCCCAGAACTGGATGCAGTACTTCAAGTGGGGTCTCACCAGAGCAAAGCAGAGGGGCAGAACCACCTCTCTTGATCTGCTGGCCACGCTGCTTTTGATGCAGCCCAAGATGCGATTGGTCTTTTGGGCTGAAAGTATGCATTGTTGGCTTGTGTCCAGCTTTTCACCCACCAGTACCCCCAAGTCCTCTGCAGGGCTGCTCTCAATCACATCATCCCTCAGCCTGTATTGATACCGAAGATTGCCTTGACCCAGGTGTAGGACCTTGAACTTGACTTTGTTGGATCCCATGAGGTTCACAAGGAGTCACCTCTCCAGCGTGTCCGGGTCCCTCTGGATGATTTCCTGTCCCTCTGGGCTGTCAACTGCACCTCTCAGCTTGGTGAGAAGTTCATGGGGAACAATGTTTATCTAGGAATAACTGTTGTCACTGTTAGCCGTGCTTTTTTTTTTTTTTTTAATGATCTATGGGATATCTACACTGATTGCGCTGAATGTCAAGAAATATTCTGCTGTTGAATTGTTTGTATCTAAAGTCCATTTGGTATTACCAAGGCACTTTTTATTGCTAAAAGCAGATTTTGTTTTCATCTTTGATTTGCTGCAAAAATGACATGCATATTAGATTATTTTATTCAGTGTTCTTTTGCTGATGCCTCATCAATCAGAATCTTAGTATAAGAAAGACGCAGGTCCAGGGAGGTGATTATCCCCCTGTGCTCGGCACTGGTGAGGCCGCACCTTGAGTACTGTGTTCAGTTCTGGGCCCCTCACTATAAGAAAGATGTTGAGATTCTGGAGCGTGTTCAGAGAAGAGCCACAAGGATGGTGAGGGGTCTGGAGAACAAGCCTTATGAGGAGCAGCTAAGGGAACTGGGGTTGTTTAGCCTGAAGAAGAGAAGGCTGAGGGGAGACCTCATCACCACCTACAACTACCTAAAGGGAGGTTGTAGAGAGGTGGGTGCTGGTCTTTTCTCCTAGGTGATGGAGGATAGAACAAGGGGAAATGGCACCAAGCTGTGCCAAGGGAGGTTCAGGTTAGAGATAAGGAGGAAGTTCTTTACTGAGAGGGTTGTCAGAGGCTGGAACAGGCTTCCCAGGGAGGTGGAGGAGTCACCATCCCTGGACGTTAAAGAGTGGGTAGACGAGGTACTTAGGGATATGGTTTAGTGGGTAGACAGGAGCGGTTGGACGTGATGATCTCGGAGGTCTTTTCCAACCGAGCGATTCTGTGATTCTGTGATTGAAGGAGATATATCATATATGATTACTGTAAGGTCATGCATGTATGCGTACAAGTGTATTTAGTGCTGTTGGGTTCTTGATATTTGTTTGTGTGTGCTTTTTGGAGCAGAGATGTTTCCTGAGGTTTTATAGCAACGTGCAACTTGGTTAAAGCTACAGAGTGTTTTGCAGTTAGAAACATTACGTAATTTAGAGCCACTAAGATGGGTAGGGGACTGGAGCATCTCCCATATGAGGAAAGGCTGAGAGAGGTGGGTCTGTTTAGCCTGGAGGAGACTGAGGAGGGATCTCATTAATGCTTACAAATATCTAAAAGGTGGGTGTCAGGAGGATGGGACCAGACTCTTCTTGGTTGTGTCCAGTGACAGGACAAGGGGCAGTGGTCACAAACTGAACACAGGAGGTTCAACCTAAACATAATAAGTTTTCTCAGTTCAAGAAGGACAGGGAATTGCTTGAAAGAGCCCAGCGCAGAGCCACAAAGATGATTGAGAGAGTGGAGCATTTTCCTTATGAGGAGCGGCTGAGGGAGCTGGGTCTCTTTAGTCTGGAGGAGACTGAGGGATGACCTCATTCATGTTTATACATTTGTAAAGGGCGAGTGTCAGGAGGAAGGAGCCAGGCTCTTCTCTGTGATGTCAAATGATAGGACAAGGGGCAATGGGTGCAGGCAGGAGCACAGGAGGTTCAATCTGAATATGAGGAAAAACTTTCTTACTGTAAGGGTGACAGAGCACTGGCACAGGCTGCCCAGAGAGGTTGTGGAGTCTCCTTCTCTGGAGACATTGAAAACCCACCTGGACGCGTTCCTGTGTGACCTGGTCTGGGTGATCCTGCTCTGGCAGGGCGGTTGGACTGGATGATCTTCAGAGGTCTCTTACAATCCCTACCATTCTGGGATTCTGTGATTTTGGAAATAAAGTTTAGTAATTTTCCTGCACTGTATTTTTTTTTCTGGGTAATTAACTATTTTAAAATTATTGTTCAAATTGAAAATACTCAGATGAAATCTGAGTGCCAAATTAAAATCTCTGAAGCTTGTTTTTGATGGGGAATTTAGTTTAAGACGAATTAAGATTTAAAACAATATTTTGAACTATTGATTACAAATTGAATACATTTGATCATGCTGGGGTTTTTGGTTGTACTTCTAATGAAAATGTCTTTATTACATCTGAGCTCATTTTAACATCATTATGTGTAGTTGCACTAGCTGCTGAAAGGCGAGGACTACATTATCAGAGAAGATTTGTATACACATGACAACAGCTGCTTATAAATCAAAGGTCACTGAGTTTTAAAGCTTGTGAATCTGTTTAATTCTTGTAATCAAATGAATGCTATCAAAGGCCAAAGTAATTTAACACAACAATTCTGGATTACATAGAACATGTGTTCTTGTTAATAAATTACGTTACGGTTTTTGAGGGCTTGTATGTAGTTAGTACTCTTTTGTATATTTGATACCTACAGTTTTTCTTAATTTTTATTAGTGAGTTGTTACAGTGGTTAACAAGAAATACACAGATTTAAGTTGCAATAGTTTTCCCAGTGTTATATGATACAGCTTCACAGGACTTTTGGACATATGTAGATGCTTTCCTACTTTGTTTTAGTTATGACGCAGAATTGATACAGGCAAGCATGAAAGCTTGGGCAAATTTTCATTGCTTTTTCTAGATGTTACTGGAGTTCTGTGGTATTTATGTAAGGCACAATTTTGTTACTTGGGAATGCATGTTAAAATTACCATGTGCGCTATTTTGCTGTAGGCTGGTTGGCATTGCCACAAAGGTAATGCACTGCCAGTAGGCCGTTTCCTTGTCAACTGCATTTACAGCTTAATAGAAATATTACATGACTTCTTTAAACAAGTGTTTTGGCAGAGAGGAAATAGCAGATTCCATGCAAACAAGCATAGCTTCCTCTGCTTAACCACACTCCAGCTACTCCAAAGAATTGTACTGGTTTCAGCTGGGAAAGAATGAGAAACGGGGAGTGCAAAATGGAATTTTATGTGGGGGGAAAAAACCAGCATTTTTTTGTCTGTTGTAGTATTCCTGTTTTAGTATATTTGACTATATAAGTCTCATGGATGCTGCTCACTTGTTTCTGCTGCAAACCTGAGTTCAGCAGAACCTGCAGTTGTTGTACTTGGTTTGAGGCTCAAAGGTTAAGGCCATTTGCCAGCCCAGTAACTCTTAATGCTTTATTCACATAAGAATTATGGAATGCCTCACATGTTCCATGTCAGAGTCCCTTTATGCTTTTGCCAGTGATGAAAAGTGAAACTTCTGTATTTTCTCTGAGTTTTCATCAAAGGAGTGTTTTCAAGTAGTTCCAAAGGAGGAAAAATACAGATGTCCTTAAAACTGCCCTAAAACACGGTGATGCAGCCACTAGAAATAGCAAGGAATTTGCTGATAAGTCAAAAATCACTCAAACCTAGATAAGTTAACCCATCCAGCAGATCTAAAAGCATGTTGATGGCAGCAGTCTGTGCAGCCACTGGGGTTAATGTGTCAAACAGTGTTTGCATCTGCCTTTGATTGTGCTGCTGGGATGAGCAGTGAGGAATTTACAGTGGAGTTAGTGAAAGGGGGCTTCAGTGTGGTTCTGGTGCAGGACTCGGTCTCCTACTCTGAAGCTGCAGTGCTGTGTTTGAACAGCTGTGTCTGGTCCCCCATCGACTGCAGCGTGTGTGCTGTCCTGCAGTGATAAAGCATTTATGTCCTGCCACTGGCTGTATTTAATT